ATACGAGATTGCAAAAGCAAGGATTTGTGAATGCAACAAGTCCAAGTGGTACTATAGTTGGAAGCAGTGTAGCACGGGACGGGAAGTCTGGAAGGTTTTTAAACGCTTAAACAGAAAGGACGAATGGAGTCAGCTAGACAGAAAGGAGCAAGCAATTTCGGCACGTTTTCGCACGAGACACTGTCCGATTGAAACTTATTTCGACACTGCCACAAGGAGGACGAGACCGTAGAACACATCCTCAACGACTGCTTGGTTCTCAGAAGCGATTTCGACAGACCACTAAAGGAACTAAACGATAGTACTAGTGCATGAGGGGGGCCCTGTCCTATTAGGAGACAGGCAAATCTTAAAAAAACACTACCAAATGACTGGACCAGGGTTGGCCTTAGATAAATGGAGGCCAAAAATGAAATAGAAAAATAAGAAAAAAAAATTTGATGGTGACGCAATGAGAGGACAAGTTTCGCTATCTCTTTTCTAAAAAATGTTGGCGTCCTGTGCAAGGCCCCCACCAATCGGAGGGCCAGGGAAGCTGCCTAGTTTGCCTATGAGTAATGTCAGCATGGAGCTTTATTGCGTCAAGGGCAGTGCGTGCATACAATCCTTTTAACCTTTTAAACTGATTAAATATTTTTCAAAAAAGGCAGTCTTTGCAAACCTATCGATAAACCATACTTTTTTTTTGTTTCAGGAATTAAAACAAATAAGTGATTATTCAAATTCCTTTTTTTTTCCTAAAAAAAATGAGCTAACTGATTAAACGTCAAGGAAAATAATTGAAAGCACTTCCAATACCAACGCCCCTAGTAGGCCTACACCTAGATCTAGTCATCTAGGGTGGTTGCCTTGTCGAGGATGGTTACCAGGTCGTGCGGTTTGCGCGATGAACTGTTGTTTGGATTTATCGATGGTCCCGGGTTCAAACGCATCCCCCATCGTCCTGCGGGAGGTTTGGACTAGGAAGTAAACTATCTACAACTCTGAGGGAACATCCGAAACATGTAAAACATTTTACAAACATTTTTTTACATCTAGAATAGAATTATACTTATTTTATAGATATATCTCAGTATCTCTATCTTATCTTATCTCATATAATACAGACGTCACTTCAAAAAAGAAGATGATTACGTCCTACGCGTCATGCATTTAGTCATGCATATTAACCAATGACCGAAATTCTGCTAAGACACTTGTTTTTCTGGCTAGCTCAGGCAACCCATTCCATGCTCTAATAGCACTTGGGAAGAAGAAGCATTTGTACAAATTTGTCCTAGCGTATGGAACAACGGATATGTCTGTATCTTTGTGTCTTTCTGAGTATTTTATCAAATTTTGTTTTTGTATTTGAAGATTATGGTTCAGTGTTTTATGTATAATTGCTACTTTACTTTTAAGTCTTCTAAAGGTGTTACTCTAGTCAAATGTGAAAATTCGTTTGTTATGAATCTCACTGCTCTATTTTGTGCCTGTTCCAGTTTCTTAATGTTTTCTTGAGTTGAAGGGTGCCAAACAAAGGATGCATATTCTATTATTGGCCTAACCAAGCTTAAATAACATTTTAGTGTTATGTTCTTATTTGATTTATAGAAATTTCTTTTAATAAACCCTAATGTTTTGTTTGATTTTTTTTTAGTTTCATCAATATGGGGATTCCATGACAGTTTTTCATTTATTACAACACCCAAGTAATTTGTGTTTTTAGTCTGTGTTACTGGTTTACCATGAATTAGATAAGTGGAATTAATTTGTTTTAGTTTTTGTTTTTTGTTACTCTTCATAACTGACATTATTCTGGATGGAAAGACATGCTCCAATTTGATTCCCATTCTCTTTGTAAAATTTCTTTATCTTGTGTTATTTTTATTGTTCTATATATTATGCAATCGTCTGCAAATAATCCGACTCTTGTTCCTGAACTAATGCAGTTTGGTAAATCATTTATGTAAATTAAAAATAGTAGTGGACCTAAGACTGTTCTTATCTTATCTAATACAGAAGTTACTTCAAAAAAGGTACACCCGAGTTTAATGTTATTGGTGTTGATTTAATGCCATTTATTATTACAGTTTGTTCTCTCCCTATCAGAAAATCTTTAATCCACTGATGCAATGGACCATCAATAACAAAATAATTTTGTATGCATCGATTGATCTCTGCATACACATAGTGAGATATAAAACTTATTAGATAAATTATTTTTTTTTAAAGTTTACCTTTCAAAAACTAGCGATAGCTCTATTTTTTAGATTTTCTTTTCCAATACATCTAGAATCTAGATCTATCTATACACTTAGACAAACATGCATTTTTAAAAATACTATTTACTAAATTGAATTTATAGATACAGTCTTGGTATTTTGGGATAGTGCAGAATTGTTTGTGGGGTTTTCCTTTGATCTAGATAAACTAGGTGAATTGTTTGTGGGGTTGTTCCTTTGATCTAGATAAACTAGGTGAATTGTTTGTGGGGTTGTCGTTTGATCTAGATCAACTAGGTAAATTGTTTGTGGGGTTGTTCCTTTGATCTAGATGAACTAGGTGAATTGTGTGTGGGGTTGTTCCTTTGATCTAAATAAACTAGGTGAATTGTTTGTGGAGTTGTTCCTTTGATCTAGATCAACTAGGTGAATTGGTGCACCGCGGTACGTCAGGGTTTTTTACGTCTCCAGACATCTTCTCTTATAAAATACAGATGTTACTTTCAAAAAGAAGATGATTACTTTCTTCGAGTCATGCATCTAGTCATGCATATTAACCAATGACTTATATATTACAAACGTTAGGCCTACTTCAAAAGAAAAAGAAGATAATTACGTCCTACGAATTTCATGTGTAAATTTAGTCATGAATGTTAATTAATGTCTTAAACTCTGCTAAGTTGTTGATTTTCCTGGCCTAGTCAGGCAACCCATTCCATTCTTTTATGGCTTGTACGAATTAGTTCTAGCGTATGGAATAATAAATGTGCCTCTATCTTTGTGTCTTTCTGACTCACTCTTTTCCCTTTGAATAAAGAGACCAATCCTAGAAACACACTCACGGTCACAGACAGAGCGTTTGTAAGCACCAGAAGCTTCAAAGTTTTCAGAATTTTTTCTTCTTCCTCTGCAAAAAGGTCAAAGACAATAGAAATGTTTGACAGCTTAGCTCCTGTCTATTCTCAACATAATTTATTGCTGTTTATTTGAAAATGTGTTGTTCTTTTTTGCTTAGTGCACTGCATTCTACAGTTCGTCGTCTAATGTAACCCGCTTTTATATCATTACTAATAACCTTTGTACTTAGCATATTTTTAATGCTTTCTTTAATCAATTCCTCTTAGTTGCTTGCAAGCTTTCCTAAAAATTTGACAGTTTACCTATGGGTAAGCAATTATTACCTAATTGACCACACATGGAAAACTCTGGTTTGACCGTTATAATTTTGTCAAAATACAATCATCTTAACATTAAATTTGGCTAACGTCTTGATGTTGTGAACACAAGTGAGTGGGAATTCCCGCATGTATTTAGTGAAGAGTTCAATAAATAATGTATGTAGAAATCATTTGCTGGACTGATAACATTAGTCTGTGATAATATTATGTTATGGTTTCTACAGAGGTTTATTTTATTTATGACATTTATTAATACACAATCTCAAGGCTGTTTCAGAGTTGAAGATAATCTACTTCCTATCCCAAACTTCCCACAGGACGACGGGGGATGGCAGCCGGCAGAGTATGAACCCGTGCCATGGAAACGACCCAACGACACTCCAGTGCGCATGCCGCACAACCAGGTAGCCATCCACATGGATATCTAGACAACTTTTTAAACATGTTTTTATAAGTCTAGATCACCGAACTAGAATTTTCTTAAGGCCTACACTTGAATAGATTTATACATGGGCGTAACCCGGATTTGTTTAGAGGGTTTTGTCTTATGATCAATCATTTCACTTTAAGGGCCGTTTGCTGAGCTCATTCAATAAATCTTGTGGAGTCCAATCGTTACAGAAGGCCTGAACACTGACATGCAACGTGACAACCTGTGGCCAAGTCACAGGTGGTAACGAGGAGCTATTGGTTTAAACTGCCCACAGGTAGTGACATTGCAGGTCAGTGTTAAAGCCTTCTATAACGAATGGTCTGGAGTTAATTGATGGGGTATTCAGTTCCATGGGGTATTTAATTATTCTTTTGTGTAGATTCGATCAAGGTCATCAGCTGAAAAGCTATACTTCATATTTTCTTTGTAAATTATGAACTGCTAATTAAAAGTTTGTACAATAGTTTCCCATTTTATTTCGTTTAATGGATATTCTGTTAATAAACAGTTAATTTAATTGCTATTCTGATTATAGGCCTATACGAATGCTAAACAGTAACAGAAAAGATTCTTTTTTTTTTGTATGTTCTTCTCTAAAGATTCATAGAAAATTTTCAAAGACATTCCTATTCTATCCTGCTCCCTTGAATAGATACAAAATAATTATTTTAAAAAGTAAGGAGGCGAGGCGTGGTGGCTGAGTGCTAAAGTGCTTGGCTTCCAAATCAGGGGTCCTGGTGAAGAATTGGATTTTTCAATTCGAGATCTTTAATGCACCTTTGCATCCACCCAGCTCTAATGGGTATATGACATTAGTTGGGGAAAAAGTAAAGAAAGTTGGTCGTTGTGCTGGCCACATGATGACCTTTATATCATTTGCCCTATAGATCACAAGGTCTGAAAGGTAACTTTATTTTATAAATAAGTAGATACAAGAAAGATACATTAAGCGAATACATAAATCAGCTAAAAAAAAGAAACTCAAAATTATAAATTACAGTCCCTTAAAGTCGAGTGACCTTCTAGGAAATAGAGATATTCCCATAAGACACGTGACTATTTGCTCCACAAAATTGTCATTTCTTAATTTGATTCAAGCTTAACTTTTTATTTGACAATTTTGTAAGTTGATCAATCTACATTAAATAAGAAAAGAATAGTTTAAATATTGAGAAATGCATTAAATTTCATAAAGTCAAATTTTATTGATGTAATAGCAGACATTGATATTAAAATCTGTGTGTGTGTGTGACAGAGGCTGCAGGTTACAGCCAATACATCAAGTTTCCTGACCTTTTCATTAAAAAAAACAGCAATATAGGGAACCAATGTCAGTAGAATTATCAAAAAAGGGATACCTTTGGAACAATAGGGCGGTGTTAAGAGCATCAGGACAGGATAACTTCTTTGAGAGGATAGAGGTTGGGACACAAATGTCCTCACCAGTTGAATGCTAGTCATTGAGGGAAATAAAAGATCACTTGATATACCATATCTGGCGGGACTTTGAAGTTGGAAGACCCAAGCAAAGATATACCATTGCTGGTGGGACTTGAAGTTGGAAGACCCAAGCAAAGATATACCATAGCTGGTGGGTCTAGAAGTTGGAACACCCAAGCAAAGATATAACATAGCTGGTGGGACTTGAAGTTGGAAGACCCAATCAAAGATATACTATAGCTGGTGGAGCTTGAAGTTGGAAGACCCAAGCAAAGATATACCATAGCTGGTGGGTCTAGAAGTTGGAACACCCAAGCAAAGATATAACATAGCTGGTGGGACTTGAAGTTGGAAGACCCAATCAAAGATATACTATAGCTGGTGGAGCTTGAAGTTGGAAGACCCAAGCAAAGATATACCATAGCTGGTGGGGCTTGAAGTAGAACACCCAAGCAAAGAAACTGTTACATTGACACAGAGAAAGTATTTTTTATCAGCCTGGTTTTATAAGCTTGCCATGTACCCTCATTGAAACATTTCAGATTGATACCCAGTTAAAATGATCAACTGCTACACAGCAAATTTCTAGAAAATGAGGTGAAAGGTCACTTTTGTACTTGAACAAGTTTATGCATTGAAAACCAAGTACACTAATGTTGTAATGACATTCAGTCTCATATCAATCAACACAAAAATTTTACCAATGAAATAAAAAAAATCCCATTTTAATTACATATATATATATATCCTGATATAATCAATGAAATAGAACAGTATCAGAAGTGACTGACACAACTACATAGAAATGAAGTCCACTAAATAAAGCATCGCCAATAATGACATATTCAACACAGACAGTAATTCATTTTATTCACTATATACATAAATACACATTCTTCACTAAATCAAGGATCCTCAATAACACCTTCAGCAATGTTTGTCATGTGTGGGAAAGGCACCTAAAAAAAAAAAAAGGAAAATTATTTCAATCCTTTTATAATTGTGTTTTTTTTAGTACCTAACTAGGCTTTAATAAATCATTTGGTATGCCAATTAAAGGCATAACCAACTAAAAGCCTAGGTTTACCATTTATTTTAAAATAATTATTTAATTAAACAAGTATTAAAATTATTTGTACACAATTTTCTAAAAATGAATGTCTTTGATTTCTTCACATAAACTTCTTTAGCATAAGCATTTATATTAGCCCATAAAGATGAAATCCTTTTTTTCTTCTTAACCCTTAAGGCCTGTGTGGCAGTTTAGCCTTCATTGTTTATGCACTCATTGTAAAACAGCTCAGCACTTTAAGGGTTAAAGAAACAACACCCTTCATAAATTTGGCCTTCCTCCTTACAACAGTTACTTTTTTCTTAGGAATCGAGTAGGAAGACTAAGGATGAGTACAGTGTTTCAGATGGCCATGCAAACCCAGTTGCGATATGCATATTTTCCCACATGTGATGCAGACAAAGCTGATGTCCTGCAGGAGTATATTTAAGTGTTTTTTTCTTCTGCACCAGTCTTCTACAAAGGATTTTTCCTTGGGCATCAAATGTGTGCCCTGTGTCCTTCATGAGAGCTCTCCAACTGTCTCTCTCACATGCCATCTGCTGCCAGCTACTACACATAAAATATAACTATACCATCATATACTCTCATTTGACCCTTTAAGCCCATAAGAATAAAATGTCTCTGATTTGCCTTGTCCTTAGTGCTTATCCACATATACTTTTTGGCACCCTTGATTATAGCCCATAGCCTTCAGTTTTCATAATCCTAAGGACTAAATCCCCCACCAACATACGTATACATAAATACAGTCTGAGACATTTCTCAGTTTCATCAGTTCTAGAACTAGACTCAAGATCTAGTTGCAATGGATAAAAACAACTTATCTGTTGCCTTCTCAAATAAAATACTGCAACCACTTTCACAATTTAGTCACCAGCCACACAAACTTGATACATTACAGCTGGTAGTTGTTTTTTTTTCAAAAAGTGGTTTATCTAGGTTTTTTTTTTTAGAAAGAGTTTTTTTTATATTGTCCTTATTTAAATTATAAGGAAATAAAGCAAGAATAGAAATGAATGCACAAGATTTTCAAAAAATTGAAGCAACAAAACAAATTTGAAATAAAACAAGGACAATTTTTAAATGAGAGAGTTGGCCATAGTGCCAAGGTGTATCAAATATTTAAAATTCTGATCTATTTCAAATAAATGGTAAGAAAATAACAGGATATGTTTAAATGAAGAACTGCCCCTGAGTGTGAGAATTAATGAGGAGTCATTAAGTCAATCAGTAAGTAAGTAAGGGATTTTGTTCTATAGATATTTACACAAAAAAATTTTTTTTTGGACAACCCTACCAAGGCTACCATCCTAATATAAGTAATTATAAGTGTCATTAAAAGATATGCATCAAAATGCTTAACAGCTTAACATTGCCATAAGTTACCTTTCTTTTGTCCAACTCTTCTTGTGCCCATAAAAGAAGTTTCAAAAGATTGGCCAGACGTGGAGTGGAATCAGTCTCTAAGATGGCAGCATTGACTTCACTAGCAACCTAAGCCAGAAACAATCAACAACATATCAGTGTTCACAAATTGACTTCACTAGCCAGCTAAGCCAGAAACAATCAACAACATATCAGTGTTCACAAATTGACTTTACTAGCAACCTAAGCCAGAAACAATCAACAACATATCAGTGTTCACAAATTGACTTCGCTAGCCAGCTAAGCCAGAAACAATCAACAACATATCAGTGTTCACAAATTGACTTCACTAGCAACCTAAGCCAGAAACAATCAACAACATCAGTGTTAACAAAACAAACACGCTGTCAACGTCAGTCTGATGTCTGCAAACTGAGTAAGACATTTGGTACTACAAAGCATGTGAGAGACACACCTAAAAGTTCTATGGAGGCAGTAGTTTACAAGAACTGAATGGTTATTGCCAACTTATATTAAAAACTACAGGCATTTCTTTAAAAGAGAAGATAATTATGTCCTATACACATCCATGTGTTAATCTAGCCATGCATGTTAAATAGAGACTTAAACTCTACTAAGTCATTAGTTTCCTTGGATGATGCCCTAATTGACATTAGGAAAGAAGAAACACTAGCATGAATTGGCCTAGTATAGGAAACAAGAAATATGCTTGTGTCTTTGTGTCATTCCTACCAATACTCTTCAATGTAGCATGTGTGCAGAGCTTGTACAATAAAATTCTGATCTTACAACTAAAAGGGAGAAAGGGTGAATTGTTGGTAAACTGACTTGCTGTTTTTACTTACTTGTAGTTGCTGTCTTTAGGTAAGTTGATTGGACCAAAAGGCAAAGATTAAATCAGAAATACTATGCAGTAGTTCTAAGCATTTTAAAGACATTACCCCATTCTGTTAAGCTTCTAAGATAAGTATGTTGTAAAAACAATTCTTTATTATGATTCAAAGAAAATCTTGTGGTTATCCACATGCAAAAAAAAAACTGCCATTACCTATGAGTTGGGAAAAGTATATCATCAATACTTTAACAGTTTACCTTAAAATTAACTTCTCCAAGTACCACTACTTAAAGAGTGTTTTTTTTTTTTACCTTCTGTCTCTGGGAAGGGTGCAAAAGATCACCAAAGGGAGACGATTCTGGTTTTTCAAAAGCTAGCAATGCCAGAGTTTTCTCTAGCTCTGGAAGAACATTTGGATTTTCTTCCACTCTTTCTGCCAACTTGCACTGTGCATAACTTAAGGCCTTCTCTAGATCTTTACATTTAATCAGCTCAATAAGTTGTTGTTGCTAGATTTTAAAAAAATAAAAAATTAATGCCATTTTTTTTTTACACAATTGGCATTAAAACAAATATGTAGGAAATAAAGGCTATCTTCTTTTGTTCTGTTTCTTTTTTTGATTGTCTTTACTATTTTAAATTAGTTTATGTTAGTTTAAATAATGAATACCATAAGAATTAATGAAAGAATTCTTACAACATGACTTTAAAAAAAAAATTGACTATAAAATTATGAATTTCATTCAAAAATGTATATTTAAAATACATGTACACAATAAATCAGAAAATATCAACAGTAACTATTGAATTAGACTTTTACAAATATTGCTCCAAACTTTAGACTTTTTCGGAAATTATTTTTAAAATGATTTTCATTACCCAAAACTCTGAAGTACATTCTTTTAAGACCGAATAAAATATAGTTATCTTGTTTGATTCATTACATAAGAACTGATCTGACCAATTATCTCACCTGCAGCCTGAAGAACAAATATCTGTCATTGTCCAGCAGCTCAGGGTACAATGAGTTAATCAGACCTATGGCATCCATAATTCGTCCATCCAGAATGGCTTGGCGTATGCGAATCCTATCATCTAGACTATCAAGATTGACTGAAGGACTAACACCAGATTCAATACTGAATTTTTCAGCTGCCTCCTTGAATCCCTCTATGTGAAAAGAATAAAAATACTTTTTTCAACGGCTTTGCATTTAACTATTTTAATATTGTCAATAGATATGTAATCATCAAAGTTTTAAAACTTAAGAATATTTTCTTTTCTTTTTTATTCTTCAGTTTCCTTAGAAACTTGAATATCTATAATGCTGATGAAGTTGAGAGTTGCAAGTTTTGTGTAGACCATGTGGCAAGCATAACCATCATCTATTTTTAGCCTTTTTAACAGATGTCATGTAATCCTTAAATATGAGGGGGCATAGGAGTTTGAAAAAAATGTCTCGACTAAGATTCATTCTAAACAAGACCCCTTACATCAGCAACAAACCACTGTACCATTTTATTTATATCACAATGTTTACTTGGGGATGGGGTTCTGTATTAATAGAACATAGTGATCCCTCATTTTTTGCAAGAATGCATTCCAAGACCACCCAAGAAAAAATTATTTTTGCCAATGAGCAATTTATAAATGTATTTAACGGGTACCATCCGTTTAGTATTCTTAACCCAACCTATGCATTAAACAATCATTCTATAATGTTTTTGAGCTGGAAATACAAATGTTTATTTAATAGAGCAATTCCTAAGTTTTGGTTTAACATAAGTAAATTTTA